AGTGCTGACCCCTTGCAACTGCCACTCATTCACAGCAAGGGGCTTCCAATGGCCATGTAGTCTGGCATCCTTTGCTAGAGAACCTCCAAAGCCCATTTTACGAGGGTTGAATGAAAAGCAATGCCTCCACCTTCATTACTTGGGTTTGGATGGGAATATTATAATAAATAAAACACAGAAATAATCTTTAGAATGTGCTCTTTAACCAAAGTACTGTTCCAGCAGTCACCAGCCATCCCCTCCCCAATGCCAGAGATACAGCTTAATGGTGTCACATTAGAAAATGTTGACCATTTCCGCTACCTTGGCAGCCACCTCTCCACCAAAGTCAACATCGACACCGAAATACAACACCGCCTGAGCTCTGCGAGTGCAGCATTTTCCCGAATGAAGCAGAGAGTGTTTGAGGACCGGGACATCCGTAGGGATACCAAGGTGCTTGTCTATAAAGCTATTGTCCTCCCAACCCTGCTCTATGCCTGCGAAACGTGGACTGTCTACAGACGTCACATGCAACTCCTGGAACGATTCCATCAGCGCTGCCTCCGGAAAATCCTGCAAATATCTTGGGAAGACAAGCGGACAAACATCAGCGTGCTGGAAGAAGCAAAGACCACCAGCATTGAAGCGATGGTCCTCCAACATCAACTCCGCTGGACCGGCCACGTTGTCCGGATGCCTGACCACTGCCTCACAAAGCAGTTGCTCTACTCTGAACTTAAGAATGGAAAACGGAACGTTGGTGGACAGGAAAAGAGATTTAAAGATGGGCTCAAAGCCAACCTTAAAAACTCTGGCATAGACACTGAGAACTGGGAAGCCCTGGCCCTTGACCGCTCCAGCTGGAGGTCAGCTGTGACCAGCAGTGCTGCAGAATTCGAGGAGGCACGAGTGGAGGGTGAAAGAGAGAAACGTGCCAGGAGGAAGGCGTGTCAAGCCAACCCCGACCGGGACCGCCTTCCACCTGGAAACCAATGCCTTCACTGTGGGAAAAGATGCGGGTCAAGAACAGGGCTCCACAGCCACCTACGAATCCACAAGGAAACCCATTATGGAAGACCATCTTACTCGTCCAACGAGGGATCGCCTAAGTAAGTAAGTAAGTAAGCTCTTTAACCACCACTATTCACTTTCCCACATAATCACCAGACAATTGGATACATTTCTGCTAACAATGAACAAGTTTTCTGAAGCCGTCACGGAAGAAGTCTATGCACTTTCATTTCAGCCATCAGGATTCTGGGTACCCATCGTGCACTGATCTTACGATAGCCAAGCAAAGCATTCATGTGACCCACACATTCTTGTGAAATGCCGATTATACTTGAAATTTGGGGTGATGCCTTCTGCTGTCAAGAATTCAATGGCTGCATGTTGCTTAAGTCACACTGACTGAGCATCTGCGCAGGGTTCCATACTTTGCACTTTAACCGTTCAATGCTAAGGCTCCCCGCCAAAATGGAACTGTAGAGGAGAGTCTACTGAACAAGCCAGTACCTGCCGCATACCAGTACTGTCATCTGTTGAGGAGTTACGAAGGTGGAGGCATTACCTCGTATGATGCACAGAAATACTAAAGGGATTGGAATAGATGTCCCCTGGAGGTCCCTTCCAGGGGTCATCTAATCCAGCCTATTGCTAATGAACTTCCAAACTCGAATCTATGCTTCTATTGTGGCCAGAAATACCAGGGGTATGGGTTAGATGATCATAGAATCACACAGTCCAACCCCATTCTGTCATAAAGCAGGGAAATCACATTCAAAGCACCCCCGACTGAAGCCTCCAAAGTAGGAGCCTCCACCACACACCGGGGCAGAGAGTTCCACTGCTGAACGGCTCTCACAGTCAGGAAGTTCTTCCTCATCTTCAGATGGAATCTCCTCTCTTGTAGTTTGAAGCCATTGTTCCATTGCGTCCTAGTCTCCAGGGAAGCAGAAAACAAGCTTGCTCCCTCCTCCCTGACTTCCTCTCACATATTTATACATGGCTATCATATCTCCTCTCAGCCTTCTCTTCTTCAGGATAAACATGCCCAGCTCTTTAAGCCGCTCCTCATAGGGCTTGTTATCCAGACCCTTGATCATTTTAGTCGCCCTCCTCTGGACATATTCCAGCTTCTTTTCAATTGTGGTGGTGGTGGTGATGATGATGATGATGATTATTATTATTATTATTATTATAGTATTGCACCACCAGACTTCCACCGGGAAGTAGCAGCCAACAATGAAAAGACCAAGGTAGTGACATCTCCAGCCCATCCCCTGTTTTGATATCAGGCAGCAAGACAATGCCTTAAATCAAGAAATAGTTTTCTAAGATCTACAGAGATACTTGCAGGAACACCTCAGCAAGCAAGAGTCCAAAAGTGGCAGGCTAAAACCCAGTTGGCTAAGGCCAGATGAGGGACTCCCTCTTGGGCACACAGAAGACTGAGCAACTTGGAAGATACTGAACAGGCTGCGCTCCGACACCATGAGATGCAGTGCTAGCCTACAAAGTGGAGTCCATGACATGCAAGTGCAGAGAAGAAACACCATCTACTACAATGTAGCCTGAGCCTTGCCACATGCACAATTGAGGACCTTCTTATTATAGCAACACCCAGAGGCATTCCAAGTGGACATTTAGTATAATGCCAAGTATTTAAACTCTGTGGGTTTTTAAAACATACATCACATCTGTGCCCTTGGTTTGCTTCTGATACGACAAATAAATATTAGTATAAATATTATTATATTTGTTATTAATAATAATAAAACTTTATTCATAGAATCATAGAATCCTAGAGTTGGAAGAGACCTCCTGGGCCATCCAGTCCAACCCCATTCTGCCAAGAAGCAGGAATATTGCATTCAAAGCACCCCTGACAGATGGCCATCCAGCCTCTCTTTAAAAGCTTCCAAAGAAGGAGCCTCCACCACACAGAGAGTTCCACTGTTGAACGCTCTCCCAGTCAGGAAGTTCTTCCTCGTGTTCAGATGGAATCTCCTTTCTTGTCGTTTGAAGCCATTATTCCATTGCATCCTAGTCTCCAAGGCAGTAGAAAACAAGTTTGCTGCTTCCTCTCACATATTTATACATGGCTATCATACTACATACTACATACATGGCCATCCAGCCTCTGTTTAAAAGCTTCCAAAGAAGGAGCCTCTACCACACTCCCTCCGGGGCAGAGAGTTCCACTGCTGAACGGCTCTCACAGTCAGGAAGTTCTTCCTCATGTTCAGATGGAATCTCCTCTCTTGTAGTTTGAAGCCATTGCTCCCCGTCCTAGTCCCCAAGGAAGCAGAAAACAAGCTTGCTCCCTCCTCCCTGTGGCTTCCTCTCACATGGAGTCCCTCTCTTTGACTAGGGGAGGACTGGATGATCTCTTGAAGCCCCTTCCAGTGCTGAACCCTCACAAATGCTGATAAGTCACAGCAAGGGACTTCTAGTGCTCTTGTAGCCTGGCATCCTTTGATAGAGAAACTCCAAAGCCCATTCTATTGTGCACAGAAATACTAAAGGGGTTGGTCTAGATGTCTCCTGGAGGTCCCTTCTAATGTCGGTCTTGAGGTGGTGGTGCTCGAGTCTGTCGGGGGTGCTTCCAGAGGTCATCTAGTCCAGCCCCCTTTGCGAGAGAAACTCCAAAATTGGTAAGAAATGGGAAGGAGGCCCAACTAGATGACCCTTGGAGGTCCTACTCCCGGCTGTGACTCCTGGGACTCTCAGACTGGGAAAAGCCATTCAGGGGACATGGAGTCTCTCTCTTTGACCAGGGGAGGACTAGATTATCTCTCCGTCACAGCAAGGGACTTCTAGTGCTCTTGTAGCCTGGCATCCTTTGATAGAGAAACTCCAAAGCCCATTCCATTGTGCACAGAAATACTAAAGGGGTTGGTCTAGATGTCTCCTGGAGGTCCCTTCTAATGTCGGTGGTCTTGAGGTGCTGCTGCTCGAGTCTGTCGGGAGTGCTTCCAGAGGTCATCTAGTCCAGCCCCCTTTGCGAGAGAAACTCCAAAATTGGTAAGAAATGGGAAGGAGGCCCAACTAGATGACCCTTGGAGGTCCTACTCCCGGCTGTGACTCCTGGGACTCTCAGACTGGGAAAAGCCATTCAGGGAACATGGAGTCCCTCTCTTTGACTAGGGGAGGACTACATGATCTCTTGAAGCCCCTTCCAGTGCTGAACCCTCGCAAATGCTGCTCCGTCACAGCAAGGGACTTCTAGTGCTCTTGTAGCCTGGCATCCTTTGATAGAGAACCTCCAAAGCCCATACTATAGTGCACAGAAATACTAAAGGGGTTGGTCTAGATGTCTCCTGGAGGTCCCTTCTAATGTCGGTCTTGAGGTGGTGCTGCTCGAGTCTGTCGGGGGTGCTTCCAGAGGTCATCTAGTCCAGCCCCCTTTGCGAGAGAAACTCCAAAATTGGTAAGAAATGGGAAGGAGGCCCAACTAGATGACCCTTGGAGGTCCTACTCCCGGCTGTGACTCCTGGGACTCTCAGACTGGGAAAAGCCATTCAGGGAACATGGAGTCCCTCTCTTTGACTAGGGGAGGACTACATGATCTCTTGAAGCCCCTTCCAGTGCTGAACCCTCGCAAATGCTGATAAGTCACAGCAAGGGACTTCTAGTGCTCTTGTAGCCTGGCATCCTTTGATAGAGAAACTCCAAAGCCCATTCTATTGTGCACAGAAATACTAAATGGGTTGGTCTAGATGTCTCCTGGAGGTCCCTTCTAATATCGGTCTTGAGGTGGTGGTGCTCGAGTCTGTCAGGGGTGCTTCCAGAGGTCATCTAGTCCAGCCCCCTTTGCGAGAGAAACTCCAAAAATTGGTAAGCAATGGGAAGGAGGCCCGACTAGATGACCCTTGGAGGTCCCAGCCTCGTCTGTGACTCCTGGGACCCTCGCGTTGAGATGGGACATCCATGGGGACACATGGGAGTCCCTGTCTTTGGAGAGGACTAGATGACCTCGAGCACCCCCCCCCCCCATTTCACCCTGCTTTTCCTACCTCGGAAGGCCACTTTGGCGATGCGGTCGCCTCTCCCACGCAGGTCGGTGACGGTCTTGAGGTGGACGACCAAAGCCATGGTGCTGGGGTGGAGGGAGGAGGAGTGGGGTGGGAGAGGTGGTCCTGGGGGGCAGCAGTGCTCACAGCTTTGGCCAAAGAGAGCAAGTCGGCTTTTGCGGCAATTGCCGGCCGGGCGGCCTCGACCCTCCGCCTGCCACCATGAGCTCTTCTCCCTCTCCCTCCTCCTCCTCCTCCTTCTCCTGCTCTTCCTCGCCTTCCTCCTCCTCCTCCTTCGGGGGCTCCTTCCTCGCCTGCGCCGCCCTCTCCTCAATTATTCAGGAGCTGCCGCAGCCGGCGCCGCCTCCTCGCCTTCTCCACCCATGCATCCTCCTCTCCAGCTCCATCTCCATCTCCATCCGCCGCAGAAGCAGCACCAGCATCCTCCCAGGCCGCCCCCGGTTTCCTTGCTGCCTGAGGCCAAGCTCAGAGGGGTGGGGCCTCCGGAATACTCCGCCCTCCTCCTCTTCCTCCTCCTCCTCTCCTTCACTCCAAACTGGCTCCACTATTTCAAAGTAGCGGTACCTGCCACGCGTTTCTGTGGCCAACCTTCCCTCCCTTGTGTTGGGAGTTCAGCCTGGGATTGTGTCTCATGATCAGGGTACTAAACCAAACTGTTCTTTATGTCTCTCAGTTCTTGTGGGTTTTTTCGGGCTATATGGCCATGTTCTAGAGGCATTCTCTCCTGACGTTTCACCTGCATCTATGGCAAGCATCCTCAGAGGTAGTGAGGTCTGTTGGAATTAGGACAATGGGTTTATATATCTGTGGAATGACTGGGGTGGGGCAAAGAGCTCTTCTCTGCTGGAGCTAGGTGTGAATGTTTCAACTGACCACCTTCATTAGCATTTGAAGGCCTGGCTGAGCCTGGGAAAATCTTTAGTTGAGAGGTGTTAAGATGTGCCTGGTTGTTTCCTCTCTGCTGTTTTGCTGTTGTAATTTTAGAGTTTTTTAAATACTGGTAGCCAGATTTTGTTCATTTTCATGGTTTCCTCCTTTCTGTTGAAATTGTCCACATGCTTGTGGATTTCAGTGGCTTCTCTGTGTAGTCTGATATGGTGGTTGTGAGAGTGGTCCAGACCAAGAACAAGCCAGGAGAGTCAAGACGAAGATCCACCCAGAGGAAAAGTGTTCCTGCCATACATCAAGGGAACCACTGACCGCATAGGGAAGCTGATGAGGAAACACAACATACAAACTATCTACAAACCCACCAAGAAAATCCAACAAATGCTACGTTCAGCAAAGGACAAGAGTGACCCTCTCACCTCTGCAGGAGTCTACCGTGTACCATGCAGCTGTGGACAAGTCTACATAGGGACCACCAAACGCAGCATTGCCCAAACACGCATCAAGGAACATGAAAGGCACTGCAGACTACTTCAGCCAGAGAAGTCAGCCATTTGCACCTGAGGAACCAACCTGGACACAGCATATTATCTGAGAACACAGAAATGCTGGGCCACTCTCACAACCACCATGGCAGACTACACAGAGAAGCCATTGAAATACACAAGAGGCATGTGGACAATGTCAACAGAAAGGAGGAAACCACAAAAATGAACAAAGTCTGGCTACCAGGATTAAAAAACTCTAAAATTACAACAGCAAAAAAACAGAGAGTAAATAATCAGGCACATCTAATCACCTCTCAACAAAAGATTCCCCCAGGCACTGCCAAGCCATCAAATGCTAATTTAGGTGGTCAGTTGAAACATTCACACCTAGCTCCAGCAGACAAGAGTCCTTTGCCCCACCCTGGTCATTCCACAGTTATATAAACCCATTTTCCTAGTTCCAACAGACCTCACTACCTTTGAGGATGTTTGCCATAGATGCAGACGAAACATCAGGAGAAAATGCCTCTAGAACATGGCCATATAGCCTGGATAAACCTACAATAACCCACTAAACCAAACTGTTCTTTATGTGTCTGTTTGCCTTCAAGTTGCCACTCAACCTATGGTGACCCCGTTCCTTTTGCAGGGTTTTATAGAACTCCAACATGCTGATGACAATGTCGTCTGTGCACATTCAGAAGAAGACCTACAAGCCACTCTAAACACCTTCGCAGAAGCATATGAGAAGCTCGGCCTGTCACTGAACATCAAGAAAACTGAAGTGCTCTTCCAGCAGTCACCAGCCAATCCCTCTCAAATGCCAGAAATACAGCTTAATGGTGTAACATTAGGAAATGTTGACAATTTCTGCTCCCTCTAAACAAAACCCAACATTGAAATACAACACAGCCTGAGCTCAGTGAGTGCAGCATTTTTCAGAATGAAGCAGAGAGTGTTTGAGGACCG